GTCAACCAGTTTTGTGAAGATGAACACGGTGCCTTAATATACAATCGTAATGGAAATGGTGTAAGCCTAAGTGGACTGCCTGGCCATTCAACGTCTTCAAGATTTTCACATTACTTACTTCAGAACAATAATGTTAATGAAAAATCCCTTTCAGCAAAGAGATCTGAAGTATCTACTGTAGAAATCCCTCTGAATATTGGCAGTCTTCCTCAACCATTAGCTCCGGTATGAAAATTCAGTAATCTTTAATGAGCTTTACCTGTATTTCCTTCTCTGTTTATTGATGTAATGTGCAACTTCTCCTCTACTTTTCTATGGCCTGGTACTAAAATAGCTTCTTTGACTTAGTTTGCTGCAGCTGGAAGTTCTAAATAGGAGTTTGATGTTGTGTGCAGGCAGTTACCTAATGATTACAATTCATTCTTGATACTGTAACAAGGATTATTACTATTGTATTTAATGGAATAATGTTTTTGCCACAATGTGAACACAAGCATTTGTTGAAGTGCAATTATTCTGTAATACTTGAATTTAAAAAGTTTTAAACTCAAATATAGTCCACATTTTTCAGTTTATAGAAGAAAATTTTATAAGAGCCAACTCAAAAAAATACCCCAAATTTAGGATTGCCAATCCTCCTGGTAAACCAACCTGTTTAAAGTCCTGATCCTTGACATGGAGGTCAGAGCAAACAGGGTGGAAAAATATTAGAGCACTTCTAATTGGTGAAGAGCTAGTTCACTTTAAGACGCTACAGTATTTGAAAAGCAAAGAAAATTAAATGCTCATTTCAGACCAAGCTACCTCCTACAGCAGTTTATGAAGCATATCAAGAAGAACTAGAGGAGGAACAACAGTCATTCTTGCAATCAGTGGACACCAAAGGTACTTTTATCACAATTAATTTCTTTACCTCCTCATTATTTTTGGTGGATCAAAAATGTCTTCTGTTTCTTTTCACATGCAGCTACAGTATCATCATCGCCATCTAAACCATCAGCAGCAGCAGATACAGTGCTGACATCATTACTTTCAACTACAGTGCTCACACCAAGACCAGGTTATATATCTAAACAACTTTTCATTTTTTCACCTCTTATCTTAATGCTATCATTTAATAAGATTTTACATCAGAGCCACTCTGTTAGGCCTAGCATACTCTCTGAAGATTATGAGAGTCCATGTTGTGGAAGAGAAGCCATTTTAGGATTTTACAGCAGATCTTGTTGCAGTTCTTGTCTCTCCAAATTCCAAATCCTACTGTCCCTCTTACAGCAGAAGTAAGGTTAAATATAACCCAAAACACAGCTCATAAATGGCATCAAAAAAGCAACACAGTGCCAACTGAGACTGACCAGCAAGTTGGGGATAATCCTCCAGCACTCACTGGAAAGACAGGAAGGATCAGCCCATGCAGATGAGAGGATTTATTAACAGAAAAAAAGATAAAGAATGATTTCGGAACTTTCAGAATCAGAGCAAAAAAAAAAAGGTTTCTCCTTCAAACAGAAATAAAAAAACCTAAGTTTTTTTCCCCCATGTAAAATGTCCAAATGTATTATTTCTGTCATTTATGAAATTCACACATCTGAGTTCAAATAATGAACCAAATAATGACAGGAGCAAGAGCAGAGAGCATCTTTCCTGGGTATATGGAGATTACTATGTCATGCCTCCTGCAATAATTTTTTTTTCACTTTTACAAGTTAAGATAACAGTTGTCAATACCATTGCAGAATATCAGTGTAAAAATACCAAATTTGAAATGAAAAAATGCCTTTTAGCTCCATTGTATTATTAAAATAAATGAACACACCTTAGTCCTTTAGTGCATAGCTGCAGGAAGGAACAATCAGTAGACCATCAAGCTTCATGTTCACATTTAACTACATAATTACTACCATTTTGTTACGTATGTAGCACATCTTATAACAAGAGAGAAGATACATATTCTAATCACCATTCTAATACCTCTGCTGCCACAGGGAAAGCACATTAAAAAAAAAAATACACACACACACACAAAAATAGTATCGGAGTTGAGGTAATGTACTGCAGGAGGATGATGTGGCCATATTAAGCTTAAGCTATATGTAAACAGCAGATGCAGCCAACTTACAGTTCTTTAGTTTACGGTATTTTTGGTTGTTCACAAGACTGATTGCTTATAACTACTTTCAAAGTTACCAGACTACTACACTTTCATATGGAGCCAAAATACCATTATTTCTTAAGTTAATAAAACAATGCCGATAAAGGAACATGAGACGGTAAGATGCATTTTTAAATCGTCTTCAGCTCTAACATCTTTAGAAACATAAAATATATCTCAAACTATCATATAACACTATTAAGAAAAAAAAAACATGGAATTTACAGGTAAATTCCTACGCTGTACAACTGGTTTTACATTTGGATTTTTTATTTATTTATTTTAAATATCCCAGACCCCCGCTGCAAGCTGACTCTGGATCAAGGGCCATGCCGTGTTTATATCATAAAATGGTACTATGATAAACAGGCCAACGCTTGTGCTCAGTTTTGGTATGGTGGCTGTGACGGAAACGCAAATCGCTTTGAGAGTGAAGAGGAGTGTAGAGAGGCTTGTGTATTTTTTTTCTAGTGGTAAGAATTCATCTCTCTAAATATCATAATGACCAGCAAATTGAAGCTATTGACTGTTTGGATTAGTTATCAAATATCCAGCAAGGCAAGCAAAATCAAGCTCATTAATTAAAATAATGCTAACACTGTTAAATCATATACTCTCAAATGAGAAAAATGTCTACCTATGCAAGCTTGCTTAAATTCTTTCTGCACGTACTGTATGATGTGCTCCCATAACAAAGTATCAAAATTTCAGTGGTTGTTAAGAGTACACAGATTTGATGAATATAGAATTTGCCACGGTAGCTGTGCTTCCTTCCCTTGGATTTTGAAAAGCTACCATCATAAGATTAGTAATGATACTAAATTTTCAGTTGTCAACATGGCTTTGAAAAGGAATCCCTTACTGTTAAAATTTTCTTTTTGTTACAGAAATCTGATATTTGGCATGGATTTTGCAATGAAGACTTCACTTTAAACAGAAGTATTCTCATAAACCCTATTTTAGTAACTCAAATGAAAGTTTTCAAGTTACACGCAAAGCTTTACTCAAGGGCTATCAGATAAATACACCAGGTCACACAAAAGGGAAGCATTTGGTATATTGACCTTTCCCAACCACATCCCTGATGTTTTTGATGTAAACTTGCCTCAGTTTCCATTAATTAAAAAGATAAAAGTAGTTAAAATACAGTAATAAACTTACACGAAAGACATACCTACAGCTGTCATTTCTCATTTATGTTAGGTCATGTCTAAAATGGCTCTCCATCACGCATTTCTCTGTTTTAAGCTGTCTCATTTGTAAATGCATTTTAATATTTTAATCTGTTTCTCAAAAGTGCTTTTAATTTACATTCAAAACCTCAACTGCAGCATAGTGCTAATAACAATTTATTCTGTATTGTCTGTCACTGCCATAGTTTTCTATGCTTAAGTTTGTCTGCATACAATTTATTTCTTGTTACTGAAATAAAATACTTAAAAGCTTTTGTTCTAATAAAACATTTCTGGTTTTACTGCCTAGAGAAAGTGGACAGTGGCTCCTTTACATGACTATAACCTTCTTTCAGCTAAATTAAGACTTACGGTTAAATGTGTTGCTGATGTAACTGGATTTCTGCCAAAGTCTTTAACAAGACTAAACGTCACAGATTAGATGCTCCTGCATATGAAAAAGATTATATGTATTTTTTTCCTAAACAGATGGTAAATTTAGTATATTAAAAATATATTTTGCCTCAGGCCTTCTCAGATACCCTTTTAAATAATTTTTTAGCAATGAGTTTCATTAAACATGCTCAGACACATGTAAAAATTGACAGAGCTATTTTAAAATTAAGCCTCTCCCTTAATCCTCTGCCCTTTCCCTTCCCTCTCTGCCCACTGCCTAATTCATTACCCTTTCTGCTTGAAGGGACCTCCATGCCTGGGGGAAACCTGCTCCTCTCTGTGAGCTGGCCAGGTGCTCCCTCTCCCACAGTGAGGCACTGAGTAAAAAGGAGGCCAGTCTTTTTTTTTTTTTTTTTTCCCCAAGAGGCTTTCAATCCCAGTCAAGATGATGATTATTATCATGTTGGTGGGAAACAGGCTCCTCACAAACCCCAAAAAACACTGGCAAGGGTCAAGTTTCTTTACATATTTCAGACTGCACTTGTAGTCATAGCTCCTCTAAAAAATAGGGAAGTGTTACAACTAAAAGTACTGCTAGAGACAACACCCAAATTACTCCAAATAACTTTTGAGGCACCTTGTATATACATATTTTTAAAGCACCTTAAAGCGAAAGAAAAGGCCCGTTATACTCCTTTTAGAGAGGATATTTCTCTCCCTTAACTTTCATCCACAACCACATGGATGTTACCTTGGGAAAAGAAGGGAAAAATGCGAAACACAGACCCCCGACGCACCGAGGAGCAGCGGCCGCACCACAGCGCCTCACACAACCCGCGCCCCACAGGGCGGGGCGGGCAAAGAGAGGGCGGCCCCGCGCCGCAGCCAATCGCGAGCGCCGCGGGAGCGCGCGGCACCGCCCGGGTTGCCACGGCGCGCGCGGCCCCGACACACGCAGGCGCTGCTCGCGCCGCCGCCAGCCATGAGCTCGGCGCTGGACGCGCTCTGGGAGGACAGAGATGTCCGCTTCGACATCTCCCCGCAGTGAGTGCCGTGCCGGGCCGGGCCGGGCCGGGCCGGGCCGGGCCGTGTGGCGCGACACGGTGTGGCGCCTCCCGCTGTGGTGGCGGGCACTGCCACGTGACAGCGCGCGGGGCGGGGCGGGGCGGCTGTTAGGGAGCCGTTAGGGGGCCGTTAGGGGGCGGTTTTGTCACGTGGGGCCCAGTGGCCGTTTGAATTTACACTCGCCCCGCCCCCTCTTCAGCCATGTTATCTGCGCTGGAGTTGGAAACGTCAAATCCTATCCTACCTATTTAAGCAATTCTGGTTTTTTTGTTTGTTTGTTTTTTGGTAGAACTGTAACAACGCAGGCCTCTGTTCCTTTCAACTTAATTGGAAATTTTTTGTTCCTGCTGCCTCCCAATAAATTTCTTTTTCCTGTCCTGTTATAGTGATGCATTTTTGATGTATTGTTGGGTGACGCTGCCTTCTTGCAGTATCATCCCCTTTCACATCTGGTTGGTCATGCCTGCATGCTCTAGGGTGCTGAGTCTGTTTTACATGATACAATTAAAATAAAACTCGTTGCTATATGTCTTACTAGGTAATTAAGAGGTGAAACCAGTTAAACTGAGGAAAAATATGAAAAAAAAATGCGGAAAACATAGCAAGGTGTTTCATCTGAGAACGTACATATGTTTTCTTTATTCACATCTATTCTTCCTTAAGCCAGGATCCGTTCCTCTTGGTAGAAGAGCATGTTAAGAGGGAAGGAATCATAGGCTAAGTTAATACATTTTTTTTTTTCTCTTTCACAGATTCTTCCTATTTTGGAGTATAGTTTGCTTGTTCGTACTTGCTACATAATTATTTATATAGTATTGTATTTTTAAAATAGGAATATTAACATTTTTCATGTAGAAAGGAGTATCAATTATATAATGTTACAATTTTATATGGGCTTGTGTTCACATTTTCTGTATCATGATGCACTGAGCGAAGAATGGAGAAAGGAAAGAAAGTGTGGAAATGGCTTTCTTTCTGGAAAATAAAAGTGATCTGTCTCTTATTATGCCACTTTTTTCTTCTTTTTCTAGGCAAATGAAAATGAGATCTGGAGAGGTCCTTATAGACTGCTTAGATTACGTTGAAGATACCAAAGGAAACAATGGAGACAGAGGTAACCATGTACTCAGGGAACTTGTAACCTTCCTAATATTTATGAAGTCCTAACCTGTTTTGAACTCATTGAACACAGCATCAGTGGTCTACTGCAGAACACTGACTTCTGCCTGTTTCACAGATCTTTCTTCTCTGGGGATCTTTTCAAATAGTGTAACTTGTTAGTATTTTTTAATGAAGAGATAATTTTGGCTCAGAATTTGTTTGGACTTCTAAGAGAAATCCAGTTAAAAACATGGTGATCTTTTGTTGTAAGGCTGTCGAATGCTTAAACCCATCACCACATAGAACTTTGCATATTGACTTGCAGGGAATTATTTCCATTTTGAAACACTCTGTAAGTATATGAATTTGCCAACTTCCTGAGGTGACATTTCCTCATGTTGGCTCTACTGCTGTGCTCTGTAGAGGAGAGAGAAGCTTTGCACTTGACATGGGGTTGAGGTTATCTATGAGAACAGCTGTGATAACTCACTGCCTTCTCCTTCTCCCACAGAGTTCTTCTGCACTAATTCTGTCTCTTAATTTTTATGATAAGTGGGTGGATGTGAAATCAATAACAGTTTCTGATTTCTGATTTGTTTTGGAGGAATGCTGATACACACCAGAGGCTTTTTTTTTTACTTTTTTTTTTTCTTCTGACTGGACTTATTCTTTTACAGTATTAAGGAAGAAAAAGTATATAGTGATTTTTCTGCATTCTTCTCCCTAGCAAGGGGGAGAAATATTCTGGTGTTTCAAAAATGGAGTTAAATATATTTATATTTATATATACGTATATATATGTGTGTATATATATGTGTGTGTGTATATATAATACAGGCACGAGTGTGCACATATGTATACAACTGTATATATATGAAACATTGTTTACATACTTACATCTTATTAAGTGGATGATTTGAGTAACTGACATCAAATTAGAAATAATAGAAATATCACTCTTTCTTTCCAGGTAGACTCCTTGTGACAAATCTACGCATTATTTGGCACTCCTTATCATTGCCTAGAGTCAATCTCTGTAAGTGTTGTCTTCTCCTAAGTGGACTATAAATTTTGTGTCCTTTGTGATGCTGTGCTCTGCTTTCACAGTAGTGAATGGATTATAGTACAGAATACTGAAGCATAGAGCTGCTGCTTCTGTGAAGTCTGAAATAAACTGTTACTAATGTATTATTAATATAGGAACTGTTTTAATAATTCTTAGAAAACTATTAGTATTTAATGTTGATTTCTCATTTAATGTTTATTTCTCATAAGAGAAATTGAAGAGTATCAGACTTTTTATTTAGTATATGTGGAACTTCCTTTTTCAAGAAAGAAAGAAAAGTTGGAGTGTTTTTTGTTGTTGTTTTGTGGGTTTTTTTCCCACTTCTGGCCACACTTGTATGTTTTGCTCATGTTCTGTACAGGTCAGCATTTTTTTCCTCATGAATACCCATCCTCCCAAATTTACTATTATGAGCTCTGAATAAGCTTCTAATTTTAAATGATATGAGTACCAAGCCTGTCTACTCATATTTAATTTAATTTGCTGAAACAGGCCCAGGGTGCATCAGGACCAAAATTATTTTCAGTGCTCAGTTCCCAATAGTCGGTCAGGACTGGCAATCTATATGCTGTTCACAATCTATGTAAACTTACACAACCTGGTAGCACGCTCGTTTGCATTTGCTCTCTATCTAATGTGTACATGCACAAGCACACACACACTATTTTACATATACTTATCTTTTTAGAACAGTTCCATGTTCTGTAAGGATTGCGTCCAGGTGGCCTTTGAACATCTCCAAGGAAGAGGACTGAAGAGCCTCCCTGGGGAACCTGTTTCAGGGCTGTTACCCATCTGCTTGCTTGAAAATACTCAGAACTCAACTAGATACCACCCTGAGCAGCCTGGTTGAATTGCCCCTGCTTTGAGCAGGGCATTGGTCCAGAGGGCCTCAAAGGGCGCCTTCAGCTTACATTAGTCTGATTTTATGACAAGGGTTCAGACTGCTGACTGTAATAAGGAATTTTCACAAACAGCTTCCAAAGGTGTGCTCCAAAATGCCATACTGTACTCTCAAATTCTGAGTATCTTCTTGCTATTAAAACTGTTCTTTTTTTTTTCTCTCCAAACTTTTAGCTGTTGGTTACAACTGCATTATAAATATAACTACAAGAACTGCCAACTCAGTAAGTTTAAAAAATCCTTTTTAAAATATAAAAGAATTTGTATTTTATTATTCACACTGCACTATACTAATTATCTCAAAGTTTATTTTCAAGAACAATAATAGAATGATTTTAGATTATTTTTAAAAGATGGGAGAACTTTACATTACTAAAGAAGTGGGGTTGCTGCCAGTTTCCTAAGGCAGCGAGACTCATGTAATCCCACTGTCTGGTAATCACTCCTTGTAGGTAACTCATGCGTGTTTGGCTCATTTCATCTAAATTTAACATGAGATAGAGAAATGCTAAGTTTGTGGAAGAAAACTGACAAATACACAGCCAGAGGTACACACAGTTGTGAAGGTATTTGTTTGGCAAGATAGCAGCAAAGAGGTAGCGAGGTTACGCACATCTCTGGGGCAGCCACCTGGTGGCACAGGTATTGCCTGGCTGCTCAGTGCTCTCACCCTCCTGGGCTAGCGCAGCACAGCATCCATTACTAGATGGATAACAAGAATTTAAATAATATGTTAAGGTTACTATTCCTCATACAGTCTAATATCTGCAATATCTTATTATATATTATATCTATCTTATACAGAATGTTATATCTGAATTTTTTTCCTTACAGAAATTACGAGGACAGACCGAAGCTCTGTATATCTTGACAAAGTGTAACAATACACGTTTTGAGTTCATATTTACCAATGTTGTTCCTGGAAGTCCTAGGCTCTTCACTTCCGTTATTGCTGTGCACAGGTACCAAACTTAAAATAGTGTATATTCATTTACAAAATTCAGTGAATCAAATTTATAAGCAGAATGTGGGATTGCTACGGTTGATGGACCCAGTAAATAACTGTCCATATTTAACATCCACACCAGCATCTCAACAGAGAACACAATCTCTAGGAAGAGCCAAGAAAATGCTCACAAATTTTATTACATAACTGCATACCATAAAAAATTTCATGTATCAGTACTGGTTGGACATGAATCAAATCATTCACCACGCGAATGAGTAAACTGAGTGAATAAATCAAAGTACTACAGAGGCCATCTGTCTAATCATTTTCTGTAGTCGTGGACCATGTCAAAGGGTTAAATCCTGGTCAGATGTCCCACTGGATTCAAAACACTGGATGTTTCACACCTAAATATGTGTTCAGTCTGTGTTACCTGTGCATAGAATGTGTGCATAATACGTTATTTCTCTGTTTCAGTTTAAGAACTGTGGAATACTCACTGATATAGATTACATGTTTTTGACTTAGCCTGCAGTATAGAATAAATGATTTTGATGATGGAACTTGGAAGATTTATGCTTTGCAACAGAGGCTAGGCAATGACAATTTTCAGGAAAAGAAAGAGCATACATATGGGCAGTCCAGAAGATTAAAACAAATGTCAAAAAAAACCTTTAAAAGTAGTGTCAGTAAGGAAAACTGAAATGTGATTATTTATAGTGATTATAATAATTCTGATGTTTTTATACAACGTGGTATTAAAAAAATTTGGAAATACACATTTCCAATTGGTGCCAAAGCATTAACACTAAAAAAAGATAGAAAACTGATATGATAACCTAAATTTTCATTTTTCTAGAGCTTATGAAACTTCTAAAATGTATCGTGACCTGAAGCTTAGAAGTGCGTTGATTCAGAACAAGCAACTGAGACTACTGCCACAAGAACAAATATATAATAAAATCAATGGAGTATGGAATTTATCAAGTGACCAGGTATAGTGAAAAATGAAACTAATCCACTTTAGCAAAGCTAAAATATTTTAGCCTTCTTTCCTATCAACTGTACTATTACAGTTCTTTCCCCTCAGAGAAGTTATCCTTGATTCAGTTCATAAGCTGGTTACATGTGGAGAAGCTGATCCCGTACTGGTACTACTCAGTACAACAAAGTTCTCTCTTGGCAATCTGAATTCTGCATGACTCAGCTTACGTACAAGGAATTAGATACACACCTCCTGTTAAGCAGATAGATTTATGAGTCTAAATCTATATCATCCTGAAAATGAATCATGCTGTTCCAAAATACTCTGCTGAATATTGGTATGTTTACTTATGGCTTTGACCATATCGTAAGACGTATGTTGTCCTTGATTACTGGAAACTGAAATAGGAATCTCTGACTTGAAAAGGTAGAAAAAGAGTTCAAGAAGAAAACAGAAAACATCTGTATTATTTTAGTTATTTATATTTCCCAGAGCCATGAAACAAAATAGGAACTGTTATTTCTGTCAGGGCAATTTTAGTCCAGAATGGAAACAGGATCCATCTTGACAAGTTAAAAAGTTCTTTCTTTTACATTCCCTTGGCACATATCTCTGCAGTTACCAAGCCTAACCCACATGCCACTCTACTTACTCTATATACCAATTCTAGATCTGTACAGTTAAGAGCACTCTCAGAAGCTTCATGTATTCCCATTAGGTTTGCTATGCTGTGATTTGATCCCGCTTTACGGTAGTATGAGGAACTCCCAAGTGGTTTTTACCACTTGATGCCATATCTTTTAAAGTTTTGATCTTGATTTCTTGAAATCGGTAGTAATGTTTCTGCTAGTTTCAGTGAGAAAGAATCAGGCTTTTATTGGATTAAATATCAAACTATATTATGTTGGTGTTTAAATGGATATGAATAGTCATTATATTTGGAAAGAGGGTTTTATACGACAATGCACTTATAATGTACTTTTTCTTTAATAGGGAAATTTGGGAACATTTTTTATTACTAACGTGAGAATAGTGTGGCATGCAAATATGAATGATAGTTTTAACGTCAGCATACCATATCTGCAAATTGTAAGTATCTTAAAACATCCCTTTCCAAACTGAAATATCCTGTAACAAGCGTTATAATGTTCAGCTGATGATCCCAACTCACACTGAAATTATGATTCTCATGTCCTGAATTAGGGAAGAATTTGGTCTTACCGTGTCAATCACAACATATTTTTTTTTCTGTCAGGATTAATTGGATGCTGTAATTTTTCTGATAAGATGAATTCATTGGCAGGTTTGGATATCGAAGAATGAGCTTTATTTCTAATTCCCAAAATATTTTCCCTGATGCTGCATGCCAGCTGCATGCCCTAAACTTTATGATCATTATTTAAGATGTTCAGAAACAAACTGGTACCCCTTTTGATGTGACACGGCTCCCTGATTTCAGTGATTCAGATTTGTGATGGTAAATGGCAAGGAGTGCTGGTGTCTGAGCTTCCAGAACCAGTAACAGTAGTGCTGTATAAATATATAGTGTGTATATATAGAGAGAGATCCAGTAATTTCAAGGTTTTTTTTTGATAAACTCTTTTTACCTCTTTACCATTCATTAGCGTTCAATAAAAATACGGGACTCAAAATTTGGCTTGGCAATGGTGATAGAGAGTTCTCAGCAGGTAAGAAGCTTTAATAGCCTTTTTTAGTTGGCTCTACATTTACATATGTGTATGATTTTATAATTCTGAGTTGTTACAGTGCTACTTTAAAACTACCTTCAGTGTTTCTTTTTAGTGGTCTTTGGAACATAATCTTCCTAGATAGTTGGATACCAATTCAAATCTTATTTATCTTATGGAAAACATTGCCCCTGTTTTTATTTCAGCCTTAGCTTAAAGGACAGATGGAAAATACAGGAAGATATCATAATAGAAATTATATTTTATATCTGCAAATAGAAATTTGCTATCATTAAATTGTAAATCCCCATCAAAGAGAACAAATTTTAATAAATATCTATTTTTCTTTTATTGTATAGAGTGGAGGATATGTACTTGGTTTTAAAATAGACCCTGTGGAGAAACTACAGGAAGCAGTGAAAGAAATTAATTCACTTCACAGAGTTTATTCAGCTAACCCTATTTTTGGAGTGGATTATGAAATGGAAGAAAAGGTAGTCTCTTCATATATTTGAAATCAGATGCAATATTGCACTATCACCACTTATAAAATGCATTAAATGTCTATTAAGTATATGGATTTATTTAATTCAGTGTTTTAATTTGCAGCCTCAACCTCTTGAAGACCTAACAGTAGAGCAGGTTCAAGATGATGTGGAAATAGAATCTGATGAACAGACAGATGCTTTTGTGGTAAGCTCAACAGAAAAAAATCCTCTTGATGTTTTTCAAATTAAAAAAAAAAACCTTAGATCTCAATCTATTAAAGATAACAAATGAACTGTTGATCTTTTATGTACACCTCAATGTTATTTAATCAATATTAACTACTACAGGAATTTCTTCTGTGTATGGGATTTTAATTACTATCTTTAGAATACTAGTAGTTATATATGATAATTGTATGTAGCTCCTCAACACACCAAGATAAGGAATAGTTTGAAAACAATCGGTATAATTTAATGAAATACATTACATTTAAAAGCCATTCTTCCTTCTTTTGGAGGAGTCTTATAAAGGTGGTGCTTTCTGTAAGCTCAACAGTAATCTCATAAAAACATATAAACTTGGAAGATTTTTAGAAAGACAGCAATAATTTTAAGTTACTCCTGACAACCTGCACATTACTGCCAATACTGCTTTAGAAAATTGCATTAGTTTTCATCTCAGCATTTAAGGAAAACATATCTTCAAATGCAGTAGCATGTCTGTGATCTTGATCAGCCATCTTCTGTAAGATCTGATCAATTCTGTGATCTGCAGGGACTGCACAAATACAGGGTTTTTATATGTCTGATGCTTGCCAACTGCTGTGGTTTCATAACTCCTCTCTGGAGTCAGCACCAATATTACTTCTATTCTCTTTTCTTTTGCTATCATTATCCATTCAGATAAGTTTTTATTTCTCCTTTCTTTTTGAATTAAATAACTGTGCAATGTATACCCTAAAATAAAAACTGGAAACTGTAAATGATTAGAAGGTGGTTGCCCCAGGAAACAACACGTGAGATGTAGTGATTGGTTCCACTCCAGTATTCCATGATAGTTGAAGACTGTGATGCCATTCTGTGGAGTCATGTATAGCTTGAATGAGATCCAGTTTCCCAAGGGAAGTACTTCCTTCTTTGTGTCCCTCAAGAAGTGCAATCAAAACAAGATCAGGCTCTTTCTGATAAATATGGTGATCTAGAACTGGTACTTGCTTGGAGACTTGCAGAATTAAAGATATTTTCAGAGACATTGCTTCCCAATATCATTTTGAGGATGGAGAGGATTGTACTACTTCTGTAGATCACTGTGGAAAAACTTGGTCAGTTGTTCAGTTAATCCATGATCGTTTCTTACATTGGTTATGATGTTAATTGAATTTTGAGACTGCTTACAAAGTTAGTTATGAAGTCACAGTTTTTGATATTGAATAATAAATGCTGCTGCCCATGAAGCAGAAAATACTAGAATGAAACCAGCAAGACTTCATGTCAACATTGTTTTACTCAGTATTTCTCAGCATAACAAATGTAACTAAAAAAAATGTAACATTTTAAAATCTTTATTTGGTATGGTGGAAAACTCAGGGATTTAGTATTACTTAGTGAAAAATAATTTACCCTACCAGATTTTTTTTGTAAATTATTTAAACCTAGCAATTACTTTGATCTTGTTTATAAAACAAAAACCAAATTAACTGCTTTATCAAAGAAAACTTACCAGAAACAATTTTTATCATAATAGGTTATTAGGAGATTTGTTTATAAGCGTTTTTTTTTTTCTCAGAGTTGTGAGGTGTGTTTTTTTGTTTTGTTTTTCAGGCTTATTTTGCTGATGGTAACAAGGTAAGACCAACTTTTTTGTATTGTCAAATTTATGTTGTAGAAATCTTGATAATTAAATTAGTACAAAATCTGTGTTGGTTTATTTTCTCTCTCATATCTTTTCCATTCAAAAAAAGCAACATGATGGGGAACCTGTGTTTTCAGAAGAACTGGGACTTGCGATAGAGAAACTGAAGGATGGATTCACGCTCCAGGGACTCTGGGAAGTAATAAGCTGATTTAGATTTTTCTGTTATATATTGCCTAAGCAATGAAAGATTCACTGTTCTGACTTATTTTGTCAGGTCTCTAGAAGATTATTAGGAAAAAAAAACAAGGGAAACATGAGAAAAAATATACCAAATTTAAAAAATAGGCAAATATTGTACAGTGTATAGTCAGCATGTGTCATTAAAATATCACTCAAAACCTGTGTATGTATAAAAGGTTTGTATTATAGTGTTTCTATTAGAATGTTATTTATTTTCATTTATTTATATGCAGCACTGTACTCTTTTGTAATGCTTATATCTAAATAGCATTTCTGTAACTTGTTTCATACTATGCAACAGAGAAATATAACACACAGAATACTTTGTACCTAGGCATCTGAGTTGTATCATTGTAGCAGAGTTCTAGTACTGAAAACTTTTTGATAAAACACTGTATCAGTACAAATACTAGTTTTAATATCTATTAATTTTGTGAAGTGTTTATTACATAACAATGGAAGTACTTTATTTTGATCTAAACATTCCTATGCATTTTTTTGCTGTTCTGTTTTTTTGGCACATTTTTCTAATCCTTTAAAAAAAAAAACGCACACGCATAAATAGCTTCTGCATTTGACTCATTAGACCTTTATATTGTTCTGTGTTAGAGAGAAATGAGTCATTATTGTTTAAAGGAAGATGCAGCTGTTAGGATTTCTAGTGAGACCTCTGCACTATTTTCTGTATGTGGAAAAAGTCAAATGAGCAATCCTCTCAGCTGTTGTTTTAGCAGCTGACTGTGCTAGTAAAGTCATTGTGATGTGGATATCGGTATTTGTTGGAAATCTTTCAAAATGTATGTTTTAATTAAATTCTATCTGTACTGAAAAGCTAGGAGAAAGGTAGAATAAATTCTCAGAAAATTTTAGTAATATTATACCTTGTTGAAGATTCTGTTTGCATTACATTCAAAGAAAATTTTATCATATACTGTGTATGGACAAAATGCAGTTCATGAAAGCACACATTTTAAACAACTTCAAATTTATTTTGCTTCTATATTACCATTTTTTTTTCCTGAAAATCTAAATGTTTCCAGTCTGAATAGTAAAACCATCAACATGTGCATATTTTTTAAAAATCTACATACTTTTAAAACCATTCAATAGTGTTTTAGGGTTTTTTTAATGTTAACTTTTAGATTTTTTTTTAGTTAATATTAAATAAAGTGTTCATTAAATAATATGTAATGGATTATATCTTTTGTTCTCTCAGTTGCTCTCTCGGTTTATTTTAACAGCAATTAACACTATTTCTGTGAAATTAAAAAGGACTGATAATGTCTACAAATTAAGTGAAATAAAGAGTAGTTGCTTTTCAAGGAAAAAGGAGTCTTCATTTTAAATTACTTTTGAAAGTAGAACCTTACCTGAATAGTTTATTTTTATTTAATCAGTTGATTTTTAGCTTCTAAATAAATATAACAGATTGTGTATTAAGATGATCAAAATGACATTGAAAGTCTTACCAGTATCTGAAGACATCACTGATTTGATATGGGTATGTTTACGAGAAATAAAATGGAAAAAAAAATCTTATTGCACAGATAATTGATGGAATGTTTAAATTTTTCCTATTATCTTTATGATTGATACCATATTAAAATCTACAACTATGAGATGCACTGACAACTTGTGTGAATTAGTGAGCAGAGTCATTACATCTGACAATTAATAATATTTCTATTTAGGAACTCTCTGTAACGTGTATTCCTAATCTTGTTTATAGTTATCTCAGTGAGGATCATATTCTAGTGTCCTTACTCATGTCAAGTAGTTTCTTACATTGCAAGTTATCTCATTGATTCATCATAGAAAATGATGGCAGAACCAGGCCATAGTGACTAAAAGCAACAGTTGCTTCTTTCAGTCTTTGACAGCTGCAAGAGCAACTCTTTTTTTCCACACCATCCACCCTAAATTCCGACCTGTAAGAGTATGTACCTATATTTAGCTAGCAAGATTAAATTGCAAAGCCTTCAGGCTGGGCAAAGCACATTGATCTGCCTTTTTTACAGACAGACCTTTGTGCAGACCACAGCCAACCTTTTCTGCTCCCCCACTTTCCAGTATTTTAGCAAAATGGATTCTCAGAGGGAACTTACTGAAGAGCTCAGACTTTACCAATCCACTCTTCTTCAGGATGGCCTCAAAGAACTCCTGGAAGAGAAGAAGTTTATAGATTGCTCCCTGAAAGCTGGTGACCGAAGCCTGCCTTGCCACAGACTGATTCTGTCGGCTTGTAGCCCTTATTTTCGTGAGTACTTCTTATCTGAGCAAAATGAAGAGAAAAAGAAGGAGGTAGTTCTAGATAATGTTGACCCCAATGTCCTGGATATGGTAGTCAAATACCTTTATTCTGCAAGTATTGATCTTAATGATTCTAATGTACAAGATATTTTTGCTTTGGCCAGTCGCTTCCAGATCCCGTCTGTGTTCACTGTGTGTGTTTCCTACCTTCAGAAGAGGCTTGCTGTTGGGAACTGTCTGGCCATCCTTCGATTAGGGCTTCTGCTTGACTGTCCAAGACTTGCATTTTCTGCCCGTGATTTTGTCTCAGACCATTTTCTGCAGATTTGCAAAGAAGAGGACTTCATGCAGCTTGCCCCCCATGAACTTATCTCAATTATTACACCTGATAGCTTAAACGTAGAGAAAGAAGAACTGGTATTTGAAGCAGTAATGAGATGGGTTCGGACAGACAAGGAGAACAGAGTAAAGAGCCTGGGAGAAGTTTTTGACTGCATTCGGTTTCGTCTTATGCCAGAAAAGTATTTCAAAGATCATGTTGAGAAGGATGATATAATTAAAAGCAACTCAGAGCTTCAGAAAAAAATAAAGATAATTAAGGATGCTTATGCTGGAAAACTGCCTGACCCTAGTAAAAACACAGAAAAATCAAACAAGGGGGAAGTAAATGGTGATGTAGGAGATGAAGATTTACTCCCTGGGTACTTAAATGACCTTCCCCGGCACGGCATGTTTGTCAAAGACCTAATTCTTCTCGTTAATGACACTGCTGCGGTAGCTTATGATCCTCTTGAAAATGAATGCTACCTCGCAGCCCTGGCAGAACAGATTCCCAGAAATCATTCCAGCATAGTCACCAAACAAAATCAGGTCTATATTGTTGGAGGACTGTATGTGGAAGAAGAAAACAAGGATCAGCCTTTCCAGTCATACTTCTTCCAGGTATGTAATTTGCCATTATTTGTGCAATAGTATTTGTGCTCTAAGAGTTACTGAAACGTACTTTCACTCTATGCCAAACAGCTTTCCTATGATTTTTCTTTAAATGTGTATTCCTCTCAATTTTCACCTAGGCCAGTGCAGTCCCTTGGCTATGATTTCTCTCACATTAATATCTGCTTAAGTTAGGTGTATTGTGAGAAGTGAATTATCTCTGTCTATGGTCATTAGAAGGAAGAATCTGTAGAGAATTATTCCTACCTCAGAAATACGCACTGAAGCCAGGGTACTTGTATTTTCTCTTTCAAGATTTGACTGAGGGTGAGATCTCAGAAAAGAATGGTTATAATATTTTATCTAGGAACTAGTTTTCATAGTTTAGGCACCAGATTTTTATTGGTAAAGATGTATAAGGGTAAGCCTAATGATTTGTAATCTATTTCATGAATTTCCATTAAATTCAGTGTAAATTTGAATGCTTTACAGGATCAGCTTTTTTAAAAATCTGAAATATTTTTTATGCTAACAGTAATGCCCATTTTTACTACAATTCCAGAAACCATTCTGATATATTTGCATTTTAAAAGCTAATGGTACTCTAAAACTATACATATACATAGACATACACATGTAGAAGGCTGTTTTCTTGACAAAGTCAATGTCAATATACTAAATAGTGTTTCAACTGAGTGTAATTTTATATCGTTTTAATTCTGTGTAAATATAATAGAACTACTATGATAAATTTGACATAGTCAGCAAAAATACAATCTGCTGTAATTATTACCATGAACTAATTTTGTTATAGTGTTTTTAATAGCTGGTTACATGGTATATTCTTGGATACTAAAACTAGCTCAGGCTGAACTGCAACATGCCCCTGGCTAAGTGCCTGTTTAAGCACATTGGCCTAAAAAGAGTGCAAGTAGGTCCTTGGGAAATACAGCACAGTGAGCAGCACGTGCAGAATTTTAGAGCCTTCATATACTGAACATAACATATTAAGTGTTTATATAAAGCTATGGCTCACTGCCATCTTCAAACCCAATAAAAGAGTTTGAGAAATTTGGTGTACATGTGAGGGAAGCAGCATTTTGCTAGAGAGGGACTAGCACTGTGTCATGTCCTTAGGTAGGTGTGAACTACAAATCACTGACATGCAGAAGTTGTTACAGAAATATTCTTCCAATAGAAACACTGGATTCATGTCAAAATTTCTATAATTCAGAATAATAATTCAGAGTAATCCGAATCTCAGTCCTTCTAGAATTCTGCATTCTAGAAGGGGGGGGCGTGAAGTCAAAACACTAAACCTCCAGACCGACACTAGACGTACTGTGGATAGTGTGACATTTTCATAACCCTGCTTTATACACCTATCCTCGTTTCCTGCAGTCCTGCTCTGCAGCTTGCCACCTCTCAAGCCTTGCTCACTGCTGCTACTGCACACAGTAAAACACTTCATTACCTGTGGCTAATGTTTCCTCCGAAATGATAATGTGGTGCCATAAAGACTTTCACTTACTAATTAATTTTATGCACCTTTGCCACTCCTGCTACTAATTCCTTTGGCAGCTAAGAAACCAGCACAAAACATGGCTACCACTGTCTCAGAAACGTGTGACTAACTGCTGAGTACCCCAGCAGATGCGGAGATGTATCAGGCCAGCCCCAGGACTGATCCACCAAACATGCTGTGATCTGTACATCTCGTCCTCGTAATCCCACCTACATTTAGCTACTCAAACAACCTTATGTCCATGAACTAAATTCCCCTGCTGCAATGAGTGTTCTTATCTAATGAGAGTGGTCTATGAAGTCTGGGAGATGCATTTTATCATAGAGATTTTCATAGAGATGTCAACTAAGGAACATAATTCTGGAGAAAAGTCATCATTAAGCTAAACCCAGATTTGATTATTTTGAATGAACTTTCTCTCCTTTTCACACATTTGCATCCATGCAAACTCCCTTCCTTCCTGGACGTTGTCAAGCAAATTTATATAAAATGGAAGAAAGAAAAAGTTTAAAATTTCTTGTTAAATGTTACAGAGCATTCGGAGTCAGTTGAAAGTAAGTTCTCAGGTCAAAACAAAAACTTCATTGTGTGGATTTTGTCCTTTTTTTTTTTTTTTTTTTTTTTTTTTTTTCTTTTTTTTTTTTTTTTTTTTTTTTTTTTTTTTTTTTTTGGTATTTTCACCATCCTGAATAGGAATTGGGACAGCCTTGGAGGTACATCACTAGGCAAGACATCAGTATTAAGGCTGCCTTGCTTGCTTAGGAATTGAGCCTTTCCTCACTGCACCTCCAGGGATCACAGGTGTGTTTGGGAGTCTCTAGACACAGTCTCTTTTGCTGCAGGTCTTGTGAAATAAACATGCGTGCCATTTCAGGTGTAATGCTTCCTGATCATCAAGAGGAAAAGTATGAAGGTGGCTGGCATGTCTCTTCATACTAGTTAGTATAAACTGCTGAATTTATAGGTGTGACATGGCAGTAGCTTCTGCTCCCTTCAGAGAGGGTAAGAACTATCTGTTCTTTAAAATGTATAATGGGAAACACTTAAGACTGGGGGACCTTGAGGCAGGAAAAGGAAGTTGAAAAATGAGATCAAAGCAGCAAACACTTTAGGGGAGCACAAATGCAGAGAGAGGCATGATGCTCTATTGGGTCTCCCTGAAGCACAGATGGATAGAGTTGTCCTTCCTCACCTGAACGGATGGACAGGTAGGTAGTTCAGACACTGAGTGCACCAACCTTTCTTTCCGTGGAGCAGTTTTTTCAGTGTGTTGCTTTTTCTTGTTTGCCTTTCCTAACACTTTCTAT